GAGGTTGGAGCTATCGGCTTCACGTTTCCTCTACTTGAGGGGCATGGGCCCCCACTGCAGGGAGGAGGAGTGGAAAGGCTGGACGCGGCGACGCACCTCGGCGAGGGGCGGATCGGAGGAGGGCCAGTCGAGGCAGCGGCGGCCGCCTGCGGCATTTTCCGTCTCTCTCTCTCTCTCTCTCTCTCTCGGGCCTCCTGGAGGAGGAAAAACTGCACAGGGAGGAGGCGGAGGAGGACGAGGGGGAGAAGGAGGAGGAGGGGGAGGAGGAAGAGGAGGAGGAAGGCCTAATAGCGAGGAGGAGGAGGAGGAGGAGGAGGAGGAGGAGGAGGAGGAGGAGGAGGAGGAGGAGGAGGAGGAGGTGTGTTCCCATCGTGCTTATCGACCACATCCCAGAAACCATTCCGAGCACCCCGAAAAATTATCCCGGCAAAGCAACCTAACAGCGATGTGTAGGAGCATATCTGGAAGCATTCCCCTTAAGATTCAGATGAGAATCCAGTTGTAGAATTCTGCTGTTCTCGCAGTCGTAGTCGCATTCGCGATGACAGTCGCAGCGGCAACGGCAGTCACAGACACAGCCTCAGCCTCAGCCTGCCTCAGCCTCAGCCTCAGCCTGCCTCAGCCTCAGCCTGCCTCAGCCTCAGCCTCAGCCTGCCTCAGCCTCAGCCTCAGCCTGATTCAGCCTCAACATCAGTCTGCCTTCGGCCTCGGCCTCAGCCTCAGCCTGCCTCGGCCTCAGCCTGCATCAGCCTCAGCCTCAGCCTCAGCCTGCCTCAGCATCAGCCTGCCTCAGCCTCAGCCTCAGCCTCAGCCTGCCTCTGCCTCAGCCTCAGCCTGCTTCAGCCTCAGCCTCAGTCTGCCGTCGGCCTCGGCCTCAGCCTCAGCCTGCCTCAGCCTCAGCCTGCCTCAGCCTCAGCCTCAGCACGAAACGACCCAGCTAGAAGGACAAAGCGCTGAATGTACACCGATGTGTTCGACGACTGCGTATGTAATGATGTGACGATATACAGACTGAGCCCTTCGTGAATGTCTACATGTTTTTCTGACGCCTACAAACGGCACTGACGTGTGTGAGAAAATTGTCCGCGCAGCAAAAGCCGGCGAAGCGTGCGGGAGCTCGCATGCTGAGACAGACTACGTCTGCAGACCGCCAGCTGCAAAAGGTTGCGAGCGGTTCTTGGAAGATGTTTACGGAACGGAGCTACGGTGTCTGAAAACATTGGCATCGAAGCGAAGAGCCACGGAGCCCTGCAGCCTGAGAAACACCGCAGGAACTCGCATACTGAAAAGGAATGCATTGCAAACCGCACGCTGCGAACCCTGCAGGCTGAGAAGCACCGCAGGATGTCGCATGCTGAAAAGCCCTTGTACTGCAGAGCGCAAGCTGCGAAACCTGCAGGCTGAGAAGCACCGCAGGAACTCGCATGCTTTCGAACACTACTGCTCGAGACCGCAGCTGGAGAGCGGCAGACCGCAGGCTGAGAAGCACCGCGGGCAGGGAGACTTGCAAAACTCAGATGTCCTGATCGTCTTGGAGGAAGTCACGCCAGTCCGGCGGCTGCCAAGAATCGATGATGCTCCTGGAGCCACCGCCCGTGCTGCCGCCGATGTCCAGGTAGTCGCCATCGGCCCTGAACAGACGGTCGTGCCCCAACGCCAGAATCGCTTGGTTGCGGATTTGAAGCAGCGCTCCGCTCTCAAACATCTGCAACACGTCCAGCTGCCTGCGCGTGAAGTTCGGCTTTGGCTGGCCAGCCTGGGCAGACAGATGGCGGGAAAGCCGCTCCCCCTCGTTGTAGCGCGCGATGCCTCGGCCTTCTGGTGGTGCAGCCGGCGCCGCTGTTGCCGCAGAGCTTCCTCGGGAACTGCTGCATCACGGCCCTCACTGTGATCAGCTTGCAACGCTTGCGTTAGCCAATCAACGTCGAAGCGCCCTGAGAAGGCCAGCACCTCCCAGATCTGTTTGTTACCGGCCACACGTTGCAAATGGCGATGCCACCGCTTACGCTTCTGGTCTTTCACAAACTTGGCGACGCTACCCAGACCTGCACCCTTGGCCTGGCCACCTTTTCCCGCAGGCTGAGAAGCACCGTGAGAAACTTTCTTACCGCCTGGCCCTTTGTTAGGACCCTGCGGAACCGCATGGCCCCCTTGTGGCGCAGACTTGCCTCTCGCTTTTCCCTTTTCGACATCCCGTTCCTGAAGCGCACGCTGCTGCCGCGACTGCTCGTACTGGTCGCGAGCAACTCTGACCAATTCCTGGCGCTCAGGCTCCGTGAGAACGTAGCGCATGTCGTCGATGTTCTTGCTCCGCAGAAAGTCATGTCGAAGCTTAAGGACAGAGAGAATGGCTCGGCCAGTCTCCTCCTGAGACGCAAAGGCCGTGTCATATTCCGAGCCAGGCTGAGGGGCGCCAGCTGGATTAGTGTCCGCTGGCTCCGTGGACTTCCTCTTTTTGAAAAGCAAGAGACTGAGATGATGGAGGACTTTCGGATCGTACTCCTCGTCGTACCTGTCGTCCCAAAGCTGCCTCAGCTCCCTGTGCAAGTCGTCCGCGCGATTCTGAACGACATCCTCGACGTAGTCGGGATCACCCGGTGAAGTCGGTGAAAGCGGAGGAGCAGAACTCGGCGACCGATCCCAATGCACAGAAGACTCGCGGTCCGCCTGTACGTTGACGTCGGCGTCGGAGACGTTTTCGACGACAATTTTCCGCCTCTTGCTCTCCCCAGGCTGAATAGCACCAGGGAGAGCGAGCACAACCGCCACCGCATCGTGTGCGTCGTTGCGCATGCCACGATCCGTAAAAGACGCGCCAACGGCAATGGAGCAGAAACGGGCGACTGCTCCGCAGACCGCGACGTGGTCGCCTTAGAGGTCGGCCGGAGTGGCATGGACCTCCCAGAGCTTCTCGTCGTTCTGCTGGCGCTGGTAAGCCTCCCGCGCCTCCTGGAAAGTGAGGTTGTCGTCGCCGACTACAAGCAGAACGACAGCCTGGCTCAGATTCTCAAGAATCTTTCCCAGGCGGTCCAGGTGCAAGCGGAGATTGCGAACTGTCCGCTTTCGAGTCTGGATGGTCGGCGGTTTCTTGCCGCACACGATGTGCATGTTGGCGATCACCACGTGGAACTTGTCATGGCCTGGTTTGTTCACCTCAAAATGTGTAATAACAGCATCAATATCTCGGCCGCTAGGAGGCCTGTAAACTTTGCTGTCTTCGCACAGAGTCAGTTCCGCAGGCTGAGAAGCACCGCGGAACCCCCAGAGAGTCAAGTAGTTGTCGACCTCCAAGAAGCGAATGCCATCACCGAAAGGTTTACTGAGGATCTCTGTCACGTTGATCCCCGCTCGGCGAAAGCCTTCACGGAACGCACCGACCTCGCAGCCACAGACCATATCAGCATCAGCGGTCTCCACTATCTTGGCGCACAACCTTCCGAAGTTAGCGCAGTGAGTGGCCGCCTGCTTACCAGTCATCATGCCCTGCTCGAACCCGAAATTGAACGAGGCTACCGTGAAAGACGCAGGCTGCACAGCGCCAGAACCAGGCGTCTGTCCACCTTCCTCCGCAGGCTGAGAAGCACCGCGAGGCGGCGCAGGCTGAGAAGCACCGCGAGGCGGCGACACTTCGGACGAGCCTCGCGGAGCAGAGGCTGCGGATGAACGTTGGGTATGGGGGTACGGCCAGGGGAACGCCATTGCACTCGAAACTGAGTGGACTGCAGTGAGTGAATGCAGTGGCACGATTGAATGCAGTGGACTGCAGTGTCACTAGCAATTCCTGAACCAAACACGGCTGTGGCGGAAGGACTACGAAGCGTCTGGCTATTCAAAATGTGGCCCGGGAATGTAGTTCTGGGAACTCGAAGACCAAGAAGTGGCCTACAGTTGGCTCCGGGCATCCAAAATGTGGCCCGAGAATGGAATTCTGGGAACTCGAAGAGCACGAAGTGTGTGACTGTTGCATCCGGCCCTCCAGAATGTGGCCCGGGAATGGCGTTCTGGGATGTCGAAGAGCACGAAGTGTGTGACTGTTGCATCTGGTTATTCTAAATGTGGCCCGGGAATGGCGTTCTGGGATCTCGAAGAGCACTTTGTGTGTGACTGTTGCATCCGGGTATTCAGACTGTGGCCTGGGAATGGAGTTCTGGGAAGTCGAAGAGCACGAAGTGTGTGACTGTTGGTGAAAAACGAGCCCGGCACCCTGCCGCCCGGCAACTCCCCAACACCTGCCCGGACCCCCCTGTGGAGTGATCTGTGAGCTCTTTTGAGTCAACTAGAAACCTATCAGTCTTCGCTGTTAGGTAAAATCGAAACAGTGTCTGCCCGACACGCCGGCGAGGTGCCGAACGAGCATCGCCTTCCAGGGCCCGACACGTGAAAACCGTCCAGTGTCGATACTTCCTTGGTGCTCGAACTTCTTTCTGGTGGCCAAGGCCCAAGTAGGTTGGAATATCATAAGCACAGAAATAAACTTTCGGAGCTCCGCGAGCGCGCGGAGCGCGCCAGGGGGCGGCGCCGGAGGCGCCGCCAGCGGGGTCTAGCGCCGACCCAAGAAATCCGCGCGGAGTTCTGAAAGTTTAGGTCGTGAACGTTTTCTTGTTCGGCGTTTCGACATTGGGCGGAAGGGGGGGTGGGGGAGGGGAGGGGGCCTGGCTCCAGACCCCTGCTTGGTGCGACTGTTTGCAACAGTGCGTCCCATAGGGGAGACTCCATCTGCTCGAAACAGGCGCCCCGAAACAGCCGAGATCCACTCCAGCCGTGGGGGGGGAGGAGAAAGGGTGCGAGTGCCTTCGCCGATCGGCAAAACAATGCGTACCATGAACGATCGCCTGCCGGACGAGAGAGCCGCCGTGCGTCTCGACTGGCCCTCCCCCTGGGAGGGCTCCGGGCCCCAGGAAGGCTGGACGTCGACCAGCAGACCTGCATCCGACTGGGCCTCAACCAGCTTCGCGCGAGAGCACTCCGTGCTGCCATCGGCAGGCTGTCGGGCAAGCTGCCTACGCCGCGTACTTCGCCATGAACGCCTCCCCTTCCCCGCACCGCCTCGGTCGCCCTGGAGGAGCACGGCGTGGAGCGGTTCGGCGCCCCTCGTGCTGCTGACTCTGGCTTCACGTTCCCTCTACAGTGGAGGCCCATCCACAAGAAACATTTTACAAGGAACCCGACCCTGAGACCCCAGGGCGTCCATCGACTCTTGGTGTGAGAACGTCCCGCTTCCCATCATGGCAAAACCATCGAAACCCAAGAAAGCCAGGGCACCCTGGAGGCAAGCAGAGCGCTTCTTGGCATGGGCCCCCACAGTACTTGAACGGCAGCGCGAGGGGCAACGCGAGGGAGGACTCAGCTCAAGGGGGGAACCATCGACCTGGACCTGGTGATATACCACCAATCGACAGGCTCTAGAGACCCACGATGGCGAAACCGCATGGTCATGGGGAGGTTGGAGCTATCGGCTTCACGTTCCCTCTACTTGAGGGGCAACGTGAGATAGGAACCAGCTCAGGGGGGGAAACATCGACCTGGACCTGGAGATGCATCACGAATAGACCGGCTTCAGAGACCCACGATGGCGAAACCGCATGGTCCCGGGGAGGTCGGGCCCCTTATCGGCGACGACTGGCCGATAGCGGGTCGATGCATCCCCCCTGAGCGTACCCCCGCCGTGACACTGCCCCCGACTGGCCGAGTGCATGCCTTAACGACGCGACCCATGACCGGTGGCACCGCGCGGGAAGGATCGCCGCCTGGAACGATATCCGCCCTCGGAGGTCCCCAGAGGCTGTGGAATGCACCTTTCGTATGGGATCCGCGCCGTGGGCTGTTTTCTGCTGCTCCCGAGGCCCGCACCGGGCCCCAAGAGTGGGCAGGGGACGCACGAGGACATGCTAGTACTGTGTGTCCTCCTCGGAGGCGTGCGTCCGACGCCAACATCAAAAACGTGTTGTAGCACATATAGTCTCCCGAACGGTACGGCCAGAACGCACCCGCAAAGAAGGAAGCATGTACAATAAGAGTTCCCGGCGCGCACGTCGCCCCTCGGGGGGCGAGACGCACACGTCACTCGCCATCGCTCGGACGTCCACTCCCTGTGCATTTTTCGATTTCGTGCGTGTATTTGTTCGTAAGGTGACCCACTATGCTCTTCGGTGGTCCTCGCCCCCCAAAAAAATGCACAAGTCCGAGCGATGCCAAAGTAATACTGTGCGGCGCCGATGGTACGGCGGCGGAAAGCGGGCCCTGGCCTTCAGGGGGCCTCCACCAGACCGCGGGCCCCCGTGGGCTTCAGCGCGCGCGAAAATTCGCAATCGAGGCGGGGGGTGATTCTGGAGCCCGAGGACTGCGCGCGGGTCACTAGGATAGAGGAAAGAGAATTATGCACATACACCGATTCTGGCCAGGCCCACCCTGAGCCCATGATCGGTGTATACTCCTTCCTGCCTTGGCCAGGAAGGCATATGCACCAATCCTGAGCCCAGGATAGGCCTGGCCAAGATCGGTGCATGTGCATAGTTCGCGTCGCCCGATAGGAGCACGGGGGCTGGGCGAATTCCCTTCAGCAAGGAAACAGCTGCGCCCCCGCGAGCAGCAGCTCCGCACGGAAGAGCTCATGACATGCCCCGGAGCATTCTCTCCGGCGCTGGGCACCCTGCGACCCGGGTCAGGACTAGAGGAAGTAGAACTATGCACATGCACCGATTCTGGCCAGGCCCATCCTGAGCCCAGGATCGGTGCATACCCCCTCCTACCTTGGCCAGAAAGTCACATGCACCGATCCTGGGTCAAGGATTAGGCCTTGCCAGGATCAGTGCATGTGCATAGTTTTCTTCGCCCGATGGACCCTGGACTGGACCTTGTCAGGGACCTGCAGCTTAGTGGTCGAGCGCGTTGAACATCTGAAGCACCACTTAGTGACCGTAAGGGGCGCCGCTTCGTTTCTCACCTGGCGGGCCCTGCCCGCGCGCGGCAATTGACTCTTCATAGACTGCGGCCGTTCTCCGCACCTGTCCCCAGTGGTCTTACTGAGGTCGCGCACGAAGTGGCCTGGGGGTGTTTTTTCTCGCACTGGCTCTTCGGGATCCACGGGGCGATGCCCGGGAGGAGGCGTGGCAAAGGAAGGCCTGAGCGCTAAGAGAGGCGAAGTCGATGACGGCCCAGTCGGAGTACGTAGAGAAATAGAAGCTGGAGCAGCGGGAAGTCGGACGGGACGGCCTCCTGAAATTTCTCAGAGTTCGCGTGGGCGCAGGCGAGCAAGGGCTAGCTCTCGACCCCAGGGCCCAGTCCTCCTCGATGGCGAGGTTGGGTTCGCGACCCCCCAGACGCCCGAGGAAGCGGGATCCAACCCGCCGATGGGCTGGAGGGAACTTGGCCCTGTGGGTGCCAGCCTGGCCGTCTCACGCGAAGTTCCTGGACGGTGGGCAGGGTCCTCCAGCAGGCCCAGGGTCCGCCATTAGACCAGCGCCGAGTTTTCACCTCGCCGTCAGCGGAAGCTCCACGAACACCCCATGCCATGCCTCATCGCCTGAGAACAGACACGATCCGCCCGGTCACAGTATAGGTCGCCAGGCACACGTGCTGCCGCAACCCGCGGAGGCCGTCTGGACCAAAGAGATGACGGCCATGCGTTTCACGCGCAACGATGTCTTGCGGAGGAGAAACAACTCGAGACCGTGCCGACGCCCGTCGTACCACCTGCCCGAATCCCCGTCGCCCGCTCAACTGCCAGACGCCCCGTCGAAGTTCCCCGCCCTCTCGCGATGCGAACAGATCGCGCAGTCTGTCCAGGAGCAGAGAGCGCCTCGCTTCGGGGATCTTCTGACCCGGGTCAATCCAGACCGGGGTCAGCAGGAAACCAAAAACTGCAATGCAGGGAAAAAAACTGCAACGCAGATCTTCGCAAACCCGGGTCAGCCAATATGCGCGGCCGCCTCGCGGCCACGAGCGGCTCGCTAACCCGGGTCAGCCAGAGGGGGTCTTCGCAGGATCCTGCAGGATCTGGCGCCCTGGCTGACCCCCGTCTGCACTGACCCCCGTCTCGAGGCTCCCGACCGCTGTGCGGGGTCCGCACGCCAGTCTCGACCGCACCGCCGCTCCACGCCCCGCCGGCGGCTTCACGCCCTGCTCCTCGATCGTCCCGCGCCGGCCGTGCGCCCCTGCTGCCGCGGCCGCGGCCGGGGCGACGGCAGGCCACCGAGGATCGGCCGAGCCGACGGCGAAGCCGCGAGCGGCAGCGCACTGTGGGGCGACGCGGTGGACAGGCAACCCGTGCAGTCAGGGCGCACGATGCGGGTGCAGGGGCCCTGGGAGGCCATGTCGGCACTCTGCGAGCGGGGCGCGGCCAGCGCAAGCGGCCACGGAAGGGCCGAAGGGGAAGAGTGCGAGGGTAGCCTTGGAAAGCTGCCCATCCTTGCTATGCGGGTTGACTGTATGCGAGCTGTACGCGGCGAATTCCCATCGAGTCCACGTCGAACTTCGGATCCACGTCGGATCCGCGACGAGCCCGCGCCGACCCTGTGGCGGATGCGCGCGAGAGGAGGCCGCAGTCTGTTGGACAGGTAGGGCGCCCACCCGAAGGTGCAGAGCGCAACGGGTGTGCGCGAGCTCGGCGGCGCGCGAGCGGTACAGAGGGTGGGGTGGGGGCGGGGGGCGACCGTCTCACAAGGCAGGACGGTTCGCTCTCGGATAGAGGGCAACGAGACCCATACGTATCGTATCCCCTGCCCCAAGTCTGGCCCGTCCCAGAGGGCGCAGGCCCTTCTGGCTTGGCCTGGCGGAGAGGCATGCACACCGCTCACGGGCCCAGGTTGGGCCACGCCTGAGGCAGTGGACCTGTATACACTTAGGTCGGGCGTGTCCTCCTACAGTGATATATTGAACAACCATTAAAGATAGCCAAAAGATGCTCAAACATATTCTTAAACTACTAGGAAAATCGTCCCCAGGCTATGTATTGCTTTTTTTGAATGTGCGTCCTGTAGCGGGACGTGCCCGATTTCAGTATACGCCTCGTTGCAACACGCAGGCCAGGCAGCCCTGAAGAGCCACGCGAACCAGCAACGGCACGGCAACCGACCAAACTGGACCGACCTGGGCGCCGCTTCATGGGGAGGCGATACATGGGGGGGAATAGAACGGTGCACTTCTCGGGCCCTAAAGGCATCCGTTAAGGATCCTCAGGGGCCCCCAATCTGCAGCCCTCGCTGCCCCGACCGACCGCCAGAGGGAAAGGTGCCGATACCGCTGCCCTTCCGTCGTCGTCACGGCCGAACCCGCCTCGAAACCCTCGTCACACTGCCCCCCCGAACAGGCCCTGGACCTTAGCTGCCCCGGCAGGCAAGACGCAACACGCAGCGTATTGATACGGAGCTCAACGCGTAGACTGAAAGTGTAAGTCTGACGCGTAGAATAGCCAAAACGTAAGCCGATACGTTGAGCCAACACGCCACATATTGGCATGAGCGTTTGGAGAACGGCACGTGTTGCGTCCCAGAACAGGCGTACCGAGGCAGCTGAGCCCTGGACTGCTGCTACCCCGAGATGGGACACCAAAGGGCAGACGGTCCGACCCAAGGACAGAAGGCCATCCTTCAAGAGCACGAGACCCTCCGCCGGCCAAGACACACAGATCATCCAAGGGCATCCTCCCCGGGATGCACATGAGGGTATCCGCCAGGCACGCAGAGCATCGGGGCACCCTCCCCGCACCGACCTCCACCCTGCACCTCGGTCCGACCGCACCGGCACTCCGTGCTGACGCGGGAGACGCACGCCGGGCACGAATACACCGCACACCTCGGGGAGGGACAGGGCCCCCCCTGTGGCGAGACGTGGCTCGGTGAGAGCGGCCTCGGGCCCACACGCGGCGGGCGCAGGCCTGGAGAACCGACGGCCGCGGCGCCCTCTCGAGAACCAGCAAGCGGGCAATTCACCAGTCGGCGTGTCAGGGTGGGGGATCTGTCCACCCCCCTACAGGCGGATTTTGGACGAATCAATCAAGGATGGTCACAAACAGTGCCCCAAAGCACTGGAACAAGTAGAGAACCGCTTCCCGAACGCACAACCTTCCAGCACACCGCTTCCCGGGCGGCGTGGCCAGGAGAGCGCCCGCCACTGAGCCTGCACTGCGCAGTGTAATGTGCCCGGGCGAGTGCGCGGCGAAACCCCTCTTGGCGGGGCCGACGCGCACGCGCAGTGTCTGAGGCATTGAAGGGGCCCCAGGACACACAAATAAATACACACAAATAAACATATTCCCCATATTTTCACATATTTTCTGGGTTTTTGTCTTCCCCCCCACTGCCCATATGTTCCCATATTTTCCCAGGGATCGACGATTAATCGTGTCTGTGTGTTTCTTCCCCTCCTGAGGCATGCTCGGGTGGCGCCAGGGAGGGCCGCCGGTGCGAACAGAGGCAGCATCGCAAGCAGAACATCGGCTGGAGCCCTGGCAGGGCTGGGCCTGAACGTCGTTTTTCGTCCTGGCTGTTCCTTCTGTTGTTCGTTTTGCTCCACCCGTTTTCCTGTGCCTCCCTGCCAGAAATGAAAAAACAAGGCCCAGCTGCAGTCCAGCAAAGCAGCGTTCAGCTCCAGCCCTGAGCCCTAGATCTCATGTGAGCGTTTCCTTGTTCGGCCCTTCGACATCGGGCGGAAACGGGGGGGAAGGGGGGGTCTGGCTCCGGACCTCTGCTTCATGCGACTCTTTGCAGCAGTGCGTCCTATGGGGGAGACCCCACAGGCGCCCAAAAACAGCCAAGATCTACCCCAATGGGGGCGGGGGGTGCGAGGACCCGCGCCGATCGGCAAAACAATACATAAAAAACGACCACCAGACCTCATCTTTCTGCTGCACGTTTCGAGCCAAATCGATCGGTGATGGTAAACTGGGGAAGCCCAAAGGTACCGATACCGCTACTCCACGGCCCTCCTTGGGCGCGTTCTGACCAGAATGTCGAGGCGAATCCAGCGGTGGCGACAAGGGCCTCCGCAGGAGGCCCAGAAAGGGGAAAACGAGGGAAGGGCAGCAATATGGGACTTTTCCTCCTCTGGGAAAACGGGCGAACGCGCCCAGCGTGAAGAAAATGCATCGCCCAGGTCTCAGGTTATGGATGCCATGATAATGGACACCCTAACACTACTATCATTAAAGTGTGCTTAAACACTTTGAAGCATGTTCTAAACATGTTTAAATCATGTTTCTACGTTTTTTTTTTTTAACATGCCGTAAACATGTTTTAGACATCTGGAAGCTGACCCCTGCGAGTGACCTGACCAGCAGTCTAGAGTGGAGGCCAGTCCACAAGAAACCTTCCATAAGAAGCCCAACCCTGAAACCCCAGAACGGAGCATCGTCTAACCGATCCCTATCCCATCGGCGTGGCCTGGGCCCCACTGGCCGATTTGCCCCCCTAGATGGGGATATAGTCTGCTCCCTTCGGGTTTCGAGGGGTACATCCCCACTGGGGTGGTGAGATGGTGGGGCTCAGGATGGGGATGGGGATGGGAATGGGGATCGGTTAAACGATACTGGAAGACGAAGCCAGGGCGTGGATGAAATCGGGTGAGGACAAGTGGAGAATCTCTGAGAGCCGGCGGCCATGGAACATGTCTTGGGCGCCGCGGCCTTCTCAGAGCGTTCCAGAACGCTCTGAGCGTTCGAGAACGCTCTGGAACAGATTTATCCTCGTCCTAGCCCCGTCTGACAGTCGCCAGCTCTCACGGCGCTCTACGGATTTTCCAGTGGGAGCCGAAACCTGCGGCCCCTGCCCCTGCTGCGACAACTAATCAAGCCTTGCAACTGCTGCTCCTCGCCACCGCAATCTACATGAATCATTGTCCCCACGCTGTCCCATTCCAGTGTTCACTTCCCGCTGTCCTTGTGGAACTCTGCAAATCTGGAGAGAGCATCCTGCATCGCCGCCCTGGTGGGCAAGAACGTGGTGCGGAAGTGGAAAGTGCCTGCATCTCACCCTCTGCATCTGCCCAAAACGTGTCTAGAGGGAAACAGAACGCACATGGCCTCCGCAGCTGCGGAATTCGAGTGGGAAGGCGGGGGGGGGCATCATCGGCATGGTGTGCGGCAGTGAAGCCCGCCGACGGCACGGCTTTTTATTTTTTTTGCGCACGTCGCACAACGAGCCGGCCGCAGGCGCCACATTGGTATCAAATCGATGTGGGTGGGTCGCGGGTGGACCTTCGGCGGGCGAGCGCGCGAACCGCGCGGCGGGTCGCGGGTGGGTCGTAGGCAGGTCGTGGGGCGGGTCGCGGTGTCGGGCCTCGGGGCGAGGCGCGGGGCGGGGCGCGGGGCGCGAGTGGGTCGCGGGGCGGGCTGTGGATAGGTCGTCGGTGGGTCGCGGGTGGGTTGTGGGGCGGGTCGCCGGTGGGTTGCGGGGCGGGGCCGACAACAATCAGGAAAACAAGAATGGCACAACAAGGAAGAACACTCATCAGCATCGCGGAACCGCTTCACCCACGCACCAAGGGACAGTTCAAGGCCCTTCGGTCTCCTCACACACACACACATGTCAAACGCCGAAGGCGGGTGGACGTTCCTAACGCATGCAATGCCGGCTCACTCGGGCCCTCCAATCGGCTTGATCGTGGATGTTACCCTCAACCATGGCAGCGTGCTTTGCGAGTTGGCCGGCCCACTCATTCCGCGGGCGCCCCACCTTACGGACATATTTCTCCCTCGCTCTGGTATGTTTCTATGCTTCTAAATATGTATACACACATACTAGAAACACGTGCGCTTCGCGCGCGTTCAAGTTCCAAGAACCTTCAGCCCTAGACAAGTTCACGGCTGAATTTATGCACGTAGCCGCACATGGCGTAGTCACATTAAAACGGACGATGAATGCGCGGACCGAGCAGAGACGTATCACCGAAGTGGGTATGCACATGCAACTTCAGTACGAGCCATGGCAATGCAGTGCGTAGCAATGCAAGCCGGTACAGGACAGCGAAAGGAATGCTTACATTGCGACGGCACTGCTATGCGAAGCATTGCCATGGAACGCGGAGGCAACGCCATTGCCACGCACTGCAAGCCACAGAAGCGCATTGCAAGAACAAGTGCAACAACACGAGTGCATGGCAAAGCACGGGCTGCACGCAACAAGGGGGCGCGAGGTAAAAGGGAAAAGCAAAGAGAACAGGTGGGAGGCGGGATGGGAGAAGATAGACAAGGACGGCGGGGCGAGGCGGAAAGGAGGAAGTGAAAGCAGGGAAGTGGGATGGATGAGCAGGGAGGAGAGAAGCAGAGGGAGGAGCGATGAGGCAGAGAGCAGGGGGCAGCGACGGAGGACTGCAGACGGCCACAACGACGAGGGCATCTACCAGAATAGCATGGTGAGCCAGGAGGCCCAACCGCAGCACGATCACCATACTGGATGATTAACCTAACCTTCCTCTCCCATACAGTCGGGGCGTTGACCTGAGGAACCCCGAACTAGGAACGATGCCCCTTTTTACCATAAGTTGAACTTCGATTTCCCATCGAAAACATAAGGAAACCTTGAGGCAAGCTGTGAAACAATTAAGGAACACAGAGCCCCTTCCCAACGAAAAGGGTTCCTTCTTCAGGGACCCGACTGTACTCCCCTCGGAGTTCAGACCGCCATGGCTCCACGGGCCCTGCGTGATAGGCGGTGGCCTTGCCAAGTCGACGACGCGACAACGATGGCGGGGGAAACGCCAACGACTGGAACGGGTCGGCTCGATTCCATCCAGGCCCATTCGCGAGCACGAGGAAGACACGATCGCAATGGGAAGTGGATTCTTGCCCACTAGTTGAGAGACGGTACATGGACAACATATTCGAACACTCGCACACTTGAAGGAGGTGCCCGTCACCTTTCCGCCCCCGAAATTAATGTTGAGTTTCGCATGGAAGATGGTCTTGGAGTTCGGAGATTTCAGTCCACCGAAACCCCTTCCACTGTCGCACCATCAATATTAATGTTGGCGGTCTGGGGCGGTATCTTGCGCCACAGGGTTCGAACGCATTGTTCATGTACGGGAGCAACCTCTCATTCGCAGACAAAAAAAGGCTTCGACACCTATCATGAGAATCCAATACGCAAATCAGAACCACGGCTGAGACCTGCTACGAGTTCCAGCGAACATCCAAGTGGCACCCATCACGCCCAAGCACCAAGCAGGGGCCCAAGGGGAGGAATTCGGACCGATATTTTCAGGTGTGAGATGTCGACATCCAAAGATGGCGTAAGACTCGGGTGCGAGGGATTCGGGTTGGCCAGACGGGGCCAAGATAAAAAGAACGAGACCAAATCTGAGATTTGACGCAAACGCTGGCTGCAAACATCTCAGGAAAACAATACCGTCAAAATCCCGAACGCCCTCGTCAAAGAAAACGGCAAACCCGAGTTCCGGATTACTCGAGTCTCACGTTGCTCCGACTGAAGCACAGCCGATATGACCATGACTTGGTGCCACTTCAAGCATGCAGGCAGTATGGCTCAGGCGATACTTGGTTGGCACTGCTTGAATCGTTCACACGATATGGATCACGTGGGACCCGCCTGGTATCCACTGAAACATTCTTGGCTTCGCCAAGGGCTATGAAGGGACGCGTATATATTTTTTCCTTCTCAAATTCCATGTTAGTGGTCTCGTGCCGAACAACGACAGATCTGATTGAACTGATCTGCTCAACAAAAAAAACAAACGCGCGCAAAATCCACTGCGGATGCCCTCAGAGGAAAACGAAGAATGGAATGCAGCATAAGCGGCGCCCGCGTTCCGCCCGCAGTCCAACTGCAGACAAAACCACACATGATCAACCCACCAGAAAGTTCACGAGCATTGCGGCGGGGACGGTCATACATCGAGCGAGGGCAGCGAAATTATAGCCGTCTAATGGAGCTCAGCCGAGGGCTACAAACATACAACCGCAAACTGGAGGCAAAGAAACAAGAGCAGTGCGAAAGAAGGTCACTGCGAAACCAGACAGATGTCTCCAGGAAGGCGAATGCCTGCCCACGCGCCGCTTGCAATTGTTAATCATACTGGCCCGCGGTAAACCCCAGCGGCAACGCCCAGACGCCAACAATAACACCTAGACGCCCGGTGAAGTCATTGACGCGTTGCTCAAATCCTCACGAGCCAATCCATGAACAACGGCAAGGCGAGTCGCCCTGATCAAGGCCGGGTAATCGGGCAAGCGGCGAAACTAGCGAGCCGCATCCGTATTCGCGGATGATGAGGTGCAGGAAGCGGAGCAAAGGAGAGGAGGGAGGAAAATAAAAATCATCATGAACACGGTGAAGAGAGGGAGTACGGTGATAGGAAAGACTGGAAACGTGCAAGAGCATGAGCAGGTAGGACCACGGAAGAGGAGCTTGGGGGAGGTAGGAAGAAGCACAAAAAGCCTGAGGGAGGCAAAAGGCGCACCAGTGATCCGCGCGGAACGCGCGTGCGCCGCGCGCCCTCACCAGCGAAGGTGTAGGAAGAGGTGGGGGGATCAAGGAGCAGGAGGAAGTAGGAGGAAATATGAGGGGCAAGAACACGCAGAAGAAAGCATTTGCAGACTCGAACCCCAAGCAAGTTGCGCTAAGCATGACACCGCAGCGAAGCAACATGCATCGCAAGAAAAAAATGATGACAACCGTTACATCAGGGAAAAGAAACAGGCGCAGGAGTAATTAATCGGAAGATGCACAGGAACGGGGAGGGAGCAGCAAAAGGAGGACGTCACAGAAGAGGGACGAGGAGGAGGAGGAGGACAAGGAAGGGAAAGATAAAGGATAAAGAGGAAAAAAAAACACGCTGACGACGACGGGCATCAATCATCGAGGATCTCGAGTCGTTCGCTTTAGGTGCCTGCGGGACGCCCCATCAACGTCGTCATATCAGTGCCGCCGCGGCGCTCTCTTAGGGCAAATCTGGCTGCCTTTGGCGGCTGTCTTTGAGCCCCTTGGGGCCCTCTTCGGGTCGTTTCGGGGATCTCCTGGGCCCCTCTTGGAAGCCTTGGGGGTCCTCCTGGGGCCATCTTGAAGCCGTCGGTCAAAGAAGTGGGGCCCTAGCAACGCGCCATTCCTTCTCGAGCCCCCCAGTCGCCAAATGCGGCCCTCTTGCGACGCCCCTGGGGCGTGTTGGGCCGCTCTTTGGTGCTCTTGGAGCCGACTTGGGCCCTGATGGCCCCCTCTCAAAGCAAGTTCAAACCAACTCGCAGCCATCTCGAGGCCTCTAGAAACTACGGAAAGCAAAAAGGCGAGAAGGAAAACATTGAAGCGCACAGTGATTGCAAAGGAGTTGAACCTGTTGGAGGCCTCCTTCAAGAGCTCAAAAAACAATTGCGGGCTGTCACGAAGCGGTCTTGAGGGGGCTTGGAGGCGCATTGGAAGCAAAATTGTACCATCTGCAAGTATATGGAGCGATCTCGGAATCCTTCTTGGGTTGCCTGCGGTTCCTTTGGAGCCATCTTTGGCCATTTCGGGCACTCCACCGCCCCGCGGTCACTCTCTGCCCACGCCCGGGGACGAGAGGGCAGGGGGGGGGCCCCCGCCCCTGCCAGGGAGAAACGCACGGATAGGCTAGCCCGTTAAACCACCACCCACGCTCTGCATGGCGGGTGGGATTTTTCCACGGCCGCCCGGGAAGACTATCCCGGATTCTCGAGTGAATTCTGCCCGGATTTTTCCAAATCCAAATGTGAATTTGCCCCGGAAGCCGCGCGAATTTTTCCGGGTGTCCTCCGGATTTTTCCGCGCGTGTTTTTTCGATGCGCGCGCCCAAAGAAAAATCCACCAATGAAAGGCATTCAAAACGAGTTTGTTTTTCCCCCCGAAGTTTTCACTGGGCCGCGCGCGGAGCCTGGAAGGAGGGAGGGGGGGGGAGAAGTCACAGGGAGCGGGGGGGCACGCCGCAGGAGAGGGCCGGAGGGAGACAGGAATCCCAGCACCCCTTTAAGCGTGAGCGGCGTGACGAAGTAATTC